ATGTTGGTTTTAACCAAGTCTAGCCGATGCTAATTTTAAGCTAACAGCTAACGACCGGATGCAACAGGAAGTCATAGCGACTCCTACTGGATAACACTAACAGTGTCTGAGTTAAAATAAATTGAGGTTGTGCTGCCATCTTCTGGAGAGACTTGAGATCACAGGTTTTCACTTCGCTTTTTAGGTATTTTGAGTGAAATTAAACGTTTTTTTATTTCTGTAAGGCATTTTTGAGTTAATAAACGTTCCTCAAAGCTGAATAATCACTGTTATCTTGCATTTAAAAAGTAATTAAGGTATTTATACCAACAAACCTTTTATTCAATGGTAATTCCTCATTGAGAAGGTACAAAATAAAAGGTAGAAACTTTTTAACAAAAAAGGTACAGTTCAGATATTCACGGAGTTGATAGAGTTTGCTCATTTGATAAAAGATAATGCACGTTTAATTGTTAAATCACTAAATAAGAGTAGATATATCAGTAGAGAGAAACTCTTCTGATTTTATTTTACCACCTAAACAATTACATCTCCTATTTAATCTCTAAATAGCAGATAATGGCGGAAGAAGACGTGAACGCTGAACTCTTGGACTCCGGAGATGTCGTCCAAACGGCTTTACATATTTTAACAAATTCAATTATTGGTAAACAATTAGGGCAATTACAAGACCTTGATGAAACTCAAAGAGATGCAGAACTGACAATTTTGGCAAAAACAGCTAAAGTGTCAGAGGATACAAAATCGAGCCGTGAACGGTTGGCAAAAATTTCCCTGCTTCTCAAAGCGGAATTGGACCATCAGGTTGCTCAAAATGTCATGCTATCCAGAGGATATAAATCTGAAAAGGAGAGGTGTGACGTATTGATGAATGCGTCTGCATTGGAGAAAGAACAATTTCAGATTGAGAGGGACCTCTCAAAGACTGAGCTGTCAGTACAGGCTCAATCATATGAGGGGAGAATTAGGGATAAAGAACGTGCGTACCAAGACGCGTGTTCAGACAATGATGTACTACAACAACACTTACAGCGAGCATTAAAGGAGCTGGAGGTTTGCAAAGCGGAAAAGGCGATGATACTCCAACAATGTCTGAATTTACAAAGTGAATGTCAGACATCACAGGAGCGCCTGAAAGCTTGTGAGGAGTATCTAGCAACAGCTACAAACAAGATTTCTGACGGGGGGCGAGCTGGTCTGGGACTCAGGGACGAACAAGGTCAGGGTCCGGTTCAGCCACAACCACCCCAGACAGATGCTGTTACACCTCCTCCCCTTAGCCCCGTTCCAACACCCCCACCTCGGGTGATAAGGACGGGTCTGCACCGACTTGCACCTCCTACTCTTAGCCCCGTTCCAACATCCCCATCTCGGGTGTTAGGGATGGATCTGAACCGACTTGAACCTCCTACTTTTAACACCATTCCGTCCTCCCCACCCCCATCTCAGGTGGTAGGGGCAGACCTTCACCAATTTGCACCACCAACCACGCAAGAGAGACCGTTGACACTGTCTCCTTCAATGGATGATTTGCAAAAAATCTCAAAATATGTACAACGCTTTGTACCTGGACCGATGGGGTCATCTGGAACAAAAGCGTATCTCAGAGATCTAGAGTTCAGATTGAGAGGTTATCCTAATGCTACGGTGGAGGATAAAATCAGTCTGATACAGCTCACTTCGGACAGAGAGGTGTTCACCTTCATCGAGCGTCTACCTGATGCAACGAGAAGGGATTACAACCTTCTGTGTGAAGCCTTGATCAGAGAGTACGACTCCTGCACGGGACCTGCTGGTTTCCCAGCTGCAGACAAGGTCACGCAGGGTAAAACTGAACATCCAAGAGTTTATTACAAAAGAATCTTCCAAGCTTATTTTGGTAACAGAAATGAAACTGGAATGGAGGAAGAGGAAGGTTTTAAGTTTGTTTTCAGCAAAAATCTCCACACTGATTTTAGGCAATCAGTACAAATGATGGCAAATTTCAGAGAAAAATCCATCAGTAAGATTAGACAGTGTGCTGTGAATGTGTTTGAGGCATGCCCTCATGCTAAGACGCCCATTGAAGTGTTTCCTAGTGTAAAGGTTAAACCCCTCCCTCTTGAACTGGAAGGACGACGTGCTTCGCCGCCTCCTCCTAAGAAAGTTGAGAGAAAACAGTCTGTTCAAACTAACAAACCGCGTCCTGAAGGTGCACGCTGGGACAAAAAAGCTCCTCTTTCAGAGGATGACAGTGATTATCGTAAAAGGGGTGAGCGTCGGACGCAACGATATGGGAATCCATATCATCAGGGGCAGTACGTAAGGGAACCCCCAAAAGACGTACCTGACCGTCCCCCACCTCGGCCGAAACGAACCGAGGCGAAAAAATCACAAAAGTTCCAGAAACAAGGCCCTACACCTCTGAGCTCGGAAGAGACAGAGAAAATACGCAGGTTGTTAGAAACTTTGAAACACACTGACACGGGAACCCAACCAGGAGCACTAT